CGATCTAAGATGGCAGACACGGAACCGTAGGAGCGAGACCGGTGGAGTCGGAGCCGGTCCTTCTAGACATACGGGGGAATCAATCAACCATAGAGAGCACGTCATACGCATGGTAAAAAATATATATTATTTTATTTATTTATAATTTTTTAAAAAATAATACCCAAAATAATTAATTAAACATCCGACTATATTTAATACATTTACGTTTATTTATATATGTTTTCGGTGTAATGTGTTGGGTCGTGAACTCGATTCTCACGAGGTTTTCTTAAGGACTCATCGGAGAAAGGTTAATGATCGGTTAGTCTTCGTCGATCAACGGTCGAGGGTTATCGGAGTAAGTGATAACTTTGAAACATTATTTAATATCTCGTTAGTTAATAACGTTATTTGAGAATCGTATTTGATGTGACGTGTTTCATAATTATACGGGAGACCATACAAAGATTAATTAATGAGGAAGAGGTTGCTAGGCGACGGTCGGGAGGGACCGAAGCGACCGCACCCGACATTAATGACATCTTTCAAAGGGCCGTTGGTGGAGGAGATAGTAGGAAGAAGAGGATGTACGAACTCGGGTCACATGCATCTCACTACTATTCAACCGTTAATGTAGGCTCATCTTCTCGCTACTTCCGGATTCAATGCGGTCGACGAGGCACGGTTGAAGGAATTACGAGAGCAAACATCCGCAAACACGATGCACATCAATAACTTAAAGGGTACCGTGAACGACTTACGGGGTCGAGTGGCATCGTTGTTGGATACCATAATTGAGTTGAGAACCTATAGTTGAGAGCGAGTATACGATGATGTCACGGATGCGACGGATGTTCATGCGGTATTTTGAGCGTGGTGGTAGTTCATCCGCCGTTCCCGAGATCGACAACGACTCCACCCGACCTCCGACCGATCCTGGACATTAAGTTATTTTAGATTTTTTGTTTTCTTGTATTAAGCTGCAATCGATGTACTTGTTTTTTGTTATTTAACAATAATTTAATTGTTTAGCGACGTTTTAATACATTTCGAATAATAAAAATTTATGTTTACAATATTTTACGAGATTTTTGCTACTTTAAAATTGTTACTTTTACCTAATTTTATTATTGCTGAAAATAAATTTATTTTTTCAATTAGCAACGGTCTTAGAAATGGTCTAGACCGTCGCTAAAAATTAAATATTACCAACGGTCCGCACCATTGCCAAATTGACCGTTGCCGACAATTTAGCAACGGTCCGGACCATCGTAAATCCGTCGCTATTTAGCAACGGGCATACCAAGGATTTATAAGACCGTCGCTAATTTCATAACTGTTTACATCGACATTTAGCGACGGAATAGCAACGTTTTGGACCGTCACTAATTTTGCAACGGTCCAAACTATCGCTAAAAAACGCCGACGACCTTTTTAGCGACGGTCACTTGACCGTCGCTAAACCGTTTTAGCAACGGTTTTTTTTATTTAGCGACGGGTCCGCCCGTCGCTCAATCACATTTATCTAGTAGTATATATTCATGTTGGGGCTTTCACTTGAGGGGTGTGTTAGAGACTATTATAAATTATATTTTAGGACCTCAACTATGAGCTTAAATTTTTAGATGAGATGGTCCTTTAATAGAGGTTTCTTCATCGGGCAAACCGGAAAGATCGGGTACTAGGACGTCATTAGAGATCATGATGGGAAGTTTTCGTGCATTTTCTCCTGTCCATCTGGTGTAATGGATTTTAATGAAGCGGAAGTTATGGCTGTGAAGAAAGCTTTGGATTTCAGTGCATCGTCTCCTCTCTCACAGCAGGTGAATTGGCATATAGAGTCAGATTCATTGAGTGCAATTTCTTGGATTAAGAAGCTCATGGATCTCAGGCCGTGGCGGATGCAGAATGCTTTTAACTCAATTAGCATGTTGATTGAGTAACTTTCAGTCATGTTTTGGGAGAAGCAAATAATGTTTCCGACTGTCTAGCTAGGCAAAGCATTGATAGGATCTCAGATTTTGTTGCAAGGTTTTTTATCCTCTGTCGCCAGCTTCTTGCTGGCTTTTTCAATCTAAATCGATTTTTCTTAATATATATATATATATATATATCCAAATGAAAGTGCTTCCAACTCTAATGTGGTCTCATGTACCCGATTTCCAAAGCAGACAGTTTTGCAGCTGTTTTACTCTTGTAATATCGTAGCTTAATTATATTCTCTCTTGTGGAAGTTGAGGACACTCTTCTTGATCTTCCCAGTTAACAAGCATAAGCTACCGATAGTATGATTAATGATTTTACCTTCCTAAAAACCATTGAAAGCACTCCCAACTTTCCACCCAATTAACAATGTTACGCGAGTCTCTGATTTTCAGTTATATCGACTACTCAACTCAATAGATTATATGTTACTTAATACTTTCTTTGTCCCATAAAAAGAATCATTTTTTATTTAGATGCCCCAAAATATAAGTTTTTTTTTATTTATTAAAATCTTAAAGAATTAAGTACCAATTTTTACTACTTTATCCTCTTTTCAACTTGAATTTACGTTTCTTTTTTCAACTATATTTAATTTTAAAGAAAAAGGTAGTAAATACAACAACAATTTATAAATTGACACAATATTTAATCATTTTCTTGATATGTGTAAAAAGTCTTATAAAATTATCTTTCTGGAGTGGGAGGAGTATTATAAATAGTTACTTAATGTGTAGACTTGAACTATAAATGATCAGATGCATGGACTTAATTGAGCCATACATGATTAGATGCAGCTAGTTAGATAGCTTTATGAGTCAAGTAAAACTTTAATCCATGCAAATATAAATAAATAAATCATTATATTCTTAACTGCATGAATTAAATTACTATTAGCAAGCTAGTTCTTGCTAATTTGCAATGGAAGAGTTCCAAAAAATGGGTACGTTGGGGTTTGAACTTTAAATATTTAACAATGGCTTTAATTTTTCTAGGCTTTCTTTTATCTATACAATACAATATTTGTGGTCTTTGTTAAGATCACAAGTTACTGAACAATATTAAAGTGTAAGCACATCTTTTCTGGCCAAGCTAGCATTTGAACTTTGAAAAATGAACTTCATCAATTACAGTTCTCTGAATAATTTGTGTGAATGCATCAAATTAATTAGTGCAACAAGAAGAAATATTTGGCATGCCATGATGAGGAGCTATACATATAGCAACTGTTAACACCTGATCTGAATGTTGTCAGTTCTTCCAGATAATGCAATATATATACACCTTAATTTTTCTTTAAATTTCCACCAAAAAACGAAAGATACATGCATATATATGATCAGCACAAGTAGTAGCCAGTGTTTAAAATCTTTTGAACATCTTGCCACGATGGTTCAGTCCCCAGATTAAGGATAATAAATCCCAAAAAAAACAGAACGAAAGCGTGCAATTCAATCAAGTAAATTAATCTGGAACCTCTTAAAGTCGTACCCTCATGTGCAAGCTCAAGCTATGGCGACTGCGTCTCCAACTGTTGTTAATCAGGACAATATAAACTCAAAGTTTACAAATGAGTCCTAATAATGTAGTATATAAAACTAGCTATCATTCAAAATTCTTGGCCGTCCAATCAAAACGCGAAAATCCCAAGAAGGTTAAGTAGCTGTTTTCCCAAGCCTTTGCTTTGTTAACAATCAAAATCCCATAATTTTATCATTTTATTATTTTCTTGGGATCGTTTTTGCTTTAATTAATTCTATTCAACTAAAAAACCAGGTTGCATGAATGAAGCAAGTCCCAAGTATATGTTTAGCGCGTGGCTAAGGCCAAACAGCAGTTTCTTTCTATGTGCTTGTTCATTCTTCAGAAATCTTGTATGTCTGAAATTTGAATGGATGCCTTGTAAGAGCTTTTCTACACGTCATTATTACGATGTAATGATCGAACTTTGTCACGAGAGGCCAGGAGAACTTTATTTTTTATTTTTTGATGAATGGGATTAGGATTTTGTTAATGATAATTATGGATTAACAAATTAGCCAATAAGTGAATGGCTAAATTAAGAATTAGCAGATGAAAGCTGAATACACTACAACTGACGACATGCAAGACAGAAAACTAGAAACAGCTACTTTACTGCGGTGTGCTTTTACCTCCATTATATAATTTGTTTGTTCTATGCATAAAATTTAATACTGCAAATATACATAGGGGATCATTCAGTGGGCATAATTTTATTTATATTTCCGTAGTCAGTTCTATGAATGTGCTTCGTAAATTTTGAAGTTTTTATTATTATGTGTGAAGGAAAGGGAGGAGAAAACCCTATCAAGAAAAAGGACGAAAAAAACAATAAAGAAGCATACTTTGGAACAGAAGTTCTCTAGTTTTCTAGCTGCGTATCTTTCCTACAATATAGAGATGACTTCAGAAATTAAGCGGATTCAGAGAGAGAGAGAGAGAGACAGGGAGAGAGAGTTACGTAGCATTTTTTTTTTTTTATGATGAGGCCATTTTAAAGAGATCTTAAGAAATTAAACCGATATAGAGGATGTGTTTTTAAAGACTTGTTAAAAAAAAAAATTAATTTTGACTTTTTTATACTTATTGGTAATTGAGTATTTTTAAGCCGATTCTAAAATCAATCGAGACTAAATTCATCGCTTTCTATGTTAAGCCGACGTCGAACACACTTAATTTATAATTAACTATTAAACTCCTTCTTAAACCCGATATCATTAAAAAATAATTATGGATAGTTATTCGTATATAGTAAGAATAGAATATTGATCAATTGACTAAACCAAACTAACTCCTTTATCGCTAGATCATATCTCTTAGTAGATTTAATTTCGATTAATAATCAAACTGACTTGAAAATAATTTGAACATAAACAAGAAAAAAAACCCCTTATTTACTACCAATCCTCGCAATTTCATTGCCAATATGGGCATGCTCTTAGTATTTTATCTATATAACTTTGTATTTTCACCGAAAAATAAAACTTCTTATTTTTGGCCTAATTAATTCGGCAATGCTTGTACGTAGTACAACCTGGATTGAAGGAAAGGTGTGGCCACGCCCCACAAAAGCATGTGGAGATGTGAAACCAGCCCTAGGTTAAACTATAGCGAAAAAGAAAGTTGGTTATAGCTAGTCTAACTCCTTATGCTTGCCTTTTACGGTACCTTTAACCATGCCCATCGGCGTCGTCACCGGCCGTCAACTTTACTCACATCACCATACCACTAGTGCATGGTTGACAATCTTCACCATATTTAAGCCCTTTGGCTCCACCCTTACGCAGAAAATGATTGCTATTTACACATTTATACACAAACATATAAAGAGACGTTAGTAGTCGCTATAAACAGCGAATTAAAAGTAACAATTGATATATTGCTGTTCATCCTCCAAACTAGTACACTAGTTGCATATATGGTGATGGCTACATCTACTGGTGGTGTGCCCCCAGGGTTCCGGTTTCACCCGACCGATGAAGAACTGCTCCATTACTACTTGAAGAAGAAGGTTTCATTTCAGAAGTTTGATATGGAGGTCATTAGAGAGGTGGACTTGAATAAGATGGAGCCTTGGGAGTTACAAGGTAATTATTATTTGAACCATAATCTAAGTTTATTATGGTTTCTGCATATACATGAGTTTATGGATTTGATTGGAACATAAGAATTTGAATCTTAAGTTCCCTTTAAGCTTGACATAGTTTCTCTTTCGCCTCATGACCTTGCACTTAGCGCGTTTAATCTATCCTGGCTTGAAAAAAAAAAAAAAAAAAAACTTGAAATAAGTTGTTATATTAATAGCGAATCTATAGCGAAAATGTAAAATGATTTTTTACTATTTTCTTGATCAAGATTTTTTTTAGTTTACCCCCACCAAGTTGTAAAACATTTTCATTTTTTTCCTTGGTAATTTGGTACTTAAAAGGGAATTATATGAGCTAAAAAACTTGGAATCATTACTCCATACCAACCAGTTACAAACAATGAGATCCACAACTTAACCAATTAAAATGATTTTGGTTCAGTTTCTCAAAAACTTGTAGAAACAAGCTAAGAAATCACTAGCTTTTCATCCTTGATCATAATTGGAGGTCAGAACAATATGCAATTTTAAAGCTAAAAGCATACCAAATTTGAGTATTTTGACTCACAAAATTCTTATTCATAACTATATATAAAAAACACGAACTCCTTAAAAATTAACATTAGCTTGACTATTAGACTTTTAATACAATACTAATACTATAATGTATTTATGATACTTTCATGTAAATTCCACTCCACTTTTTATTAAGGAAAAAAAATCCAACATTGAAGAAATTCTTAAAAGATAAATTATTAAAACTTAAAAAAATTGGTTAATCCTCATTCTTCCATTATTTTCCTATTTATTGACCACATAGCATCGTAAATAGCATAAAATAAGATTCAAAAATCACTTCCAACTGATATAATACATTATTAACATTTTATTTTGTCTATAAAAACTCTAAAAATATTTAACAAAGAAACCAAAAGCACCAATAATATTAAAAACCAAAAGTCATAAAATTAGATCAAAGTTCATCAAATTATTAAATTGGATCCTTATTTTCTTATAGAATTTTTTTGGTTATTGGATTATATTATTTTTTACTCCTCTGGACATTTGAAACGAAATGATCCACACAATTTGTATAAACCGTTTCTTTTAAAAATTTATCTAATTTAAAAATGAATTATTAAAATAAAGGTTAACAAATTTTTTAATCACATCTATACTGTTAAGTTCTATTCATATTATATATAATTAAAAATAATTTTTTCAAATAAAAGTATTAATTCTATAGCCATATTGTTGTACTAAAAGTTAATAGGACTAGCTATGAATAATTTTTTTTTTCACATAATGCACAATACATATTCATACAACATAAATAGATTCTATTTGAATAATGACTCCTTTGGACAAAATAATTTATAAAAAATATAATAATGAAAACTAGTCATTAATTATGGTAGAAAAATACCCAACAATTTCGTAATATTAAAAATTAAATATTAGCATCAAATATCTAATGATTTATAAAGTTTTATTTCTCAAATTCTTTGCAAGATTTTATCTATAGATATACGATCAAAATCAAATTTTGAAAGCAATATTAGATTATTTATTATCATATTTGTATAATTATATTTATTACATATAAGAGATCCCAACATCTCTCTCTCTCTCTCTCATATATGTATGTATTTTGATAGTTTGACATTCTTATTTTCATCATATAATTTAAAATAACTTAAATTTTAAAATAAAATGAAAAAAATATTTTTTAATTAAAAAACTATCCATATATATATCATATTTGTAAATAATTCAAAATGAGTTATTAGAGATTATAAAAAAATAGCGTAAAATAGTTGAATAATACAAATACGGTGCCAAAAACCTAGTTAGATAAAGTAGAGTACATGATTATATAATGCCACGAAGAATTATAAATGGCTATGTACAAAGAATATACTGAGACAATCTGATATATAACACTGACAATTATTAGTCCGTCATCTGCACGGGGATGCCGTGGTTAGAATATTATATATGTGCATGATTCAGTACGCCTTGTAGATTTGGTTATCTCCCATATCCAGTCAACTATTAATTTCATTCAATGATCATCCAAAGTTGATCGGTCATTCAAACTAAGATTTTAAGAGCTCCTGAAAATCAAGCTCAACATAATAGAATAAGCTAATTAATTAATGTTGCTGGAAACGTATATAGTTTACATCAAGTACACTTGCATATGAGTTAATTAATTTCTATCTTTATCTTTATATAATTAGACAAATAAATCTTCAATATGTTTTTTTTATTGTGTTTATTATGTCTTTGTATAATATCTAATTATATCTGATATGCATTTTAATCAAGCTTTTTTGTATTATTTAAATTAATAAAATTATATTTTTCATTTCAAAATTGCCATTGAGTTATATAAGAATACAATATATATTTTTCTAAATTGCTCAATTTTTTTTTAAGAAATGAAAAGTTTCAAGATTACTTGAACCTTAAAATTTTAAAACATAAAGATTTCAACTTATTTTTAATTAAAATTGGGTGTGGGTGCAGAGAGATGTAAAATTGGGTCAACGCCGCAAAACGAGTGGTATTTTTTCAGTCACAAGGACAGGAAATACCCAACAGGGTCAAGAACGAATAGAGCAACAAATGCGGGGTTTTGGAAGGCAACCGGAAGAGATAAGTGCATCAGGAACAGCTACAAGAAAATTGGTATGAGGAAAACACTTGTTTTCTATAGAGGAAGAGCTCCTCATGGCCAAAAGACTGACTGGATAATGCATGAGTATCGACTTGAAGATGGGGATGATGCTCAAGCAAACTCTGGTGTAAGTCGTTCTATCACCTCATCGCTACGTACCTCAATGCCCCAACTAACCAAATTAGTAACGAAGTATTTTAAGAATAGTCATATTTTTGCATTGGAATAGAAAATATATATATATACATAAAAAAAAAAAAAAAAAAAGAAGGGAACTTGAGTCATCGTCATTGTTTAACCATGTACCACATATCTAGGATTTATCAAAAACTGATTTATTGTCGGTTCATTTAGCTTCTGTTTGGAATTGGGTTTTAAAATTCATGGTTTGTTGTTTGTACCACCCCAGAACTTTGCATCGAAGAAAAAATGACGTTTTTTTCCCAAACAATGGTTTCAAGCGTAATGAAGTTTCAAAACCATGGTTTTTAAGGGTTATGAACACACAGTTAGGCTTTGGATTTAAAAATAAAATGTCTTTTTCTTACCAATCACAGGCTAAATTCTCATCACTAAAATCTATAAACAAATGAATTGACTAATATATGGTGGATAACTCTAATTCAAAATTTATACAATAAATAGTTCAATTTATCCTTATGTAATAATATGAGTCTTAAATTTTTTTTATTTTTCTAATTATATCTATTATGTTTCTAAATATTTTCTAAGTTTTTAATTTGTTTTTTTTCGATATTTTTTCCAACTATAGATGAATTTTTTAACCCAAATGCCTTTGAATGAAATACAAAAAATAATATAAAAATTTAAAAATAAAACATGCACCTCATCAGAGGTATTTTGACTCAATCAGAGGTATTTCAGTTTAAAAATCTTTCTATAATAAAAAAAAATTATTCGAAATTACAAATTGAAAAATTAAATATTATTCAAGAATATAATATATGTAATTAAAAAAAGAAAAACAGATTAGAAACTTCAACTATTATATAATAACAGATTGAGCTATTTACTCAATTTGTTAGCAATAATTAATAGTCAATGCGAGATTGAAATTAATAATTTTTTTCTTACAAAACTACTATTTTCAAATTATGGATGGCTTCCATTTTTTTCACCAAGAATAAGTAAAATGCTCATATTTGATCAGTAAATCAGGTTGCCGTAAAATGAGTTTAAGTTTTACATTAAAATCAGTATTTTATTTCGGATACGTACAGTAGCAAATTCACTGTGACAACAAGTCACTGCACACAATCCACGTAGCTAACATAACTAGATTTGTTAAGTTAGAAAAATACGAGTCTCATCCAATCTATTGCTATCACAATCACCAATACTCATCTCCAACTAGGTTGTGAGAAGTAGCTTATTCTTGTGAATTTCTTAAGTCTTAATATGGATAGCCTACTGACTGGACTAACATGTAGACTTCTTGTTGGTGCATGATAAAATATCTCTAGCCTTAATAATGATAAAAATAATAATAATCTTATCAATCAGATAAATGATTTGAAACTTGAATAACCTGAATGGACATTATATGTAGGATTCATTGACCTCTTTGAGCGTCTTCTGTATATATTTTAGCTAAACGTCCTTTCGGGCAAATGATTGTTCAATGAAGCTTTGTTGATAAGATACCTAATTCGTATGCATGTGTAGGAGGATGGCTGGGTGATTTGTAGGGTGTTTAAGAAGAAGAATCTATTCAAGGTAAGCAATGAACGAGGAAGTACAAGCACGAACTCATCCGAACAACAACTCCACACATCAAGCACCAATCAAGCTCGCATTTTCATGCACAGAGACAGTCAATACTTACTACGTCAACACCATAACCAAGGCAGTACTCAACAGCCATTTGAAATAAACAAGCCTGAGCTAGCCCTTCACTATCCTCACATGGCAACACCTCATCATTATTCTCTCTTCCAATCCCAAACCCTATTGCCAGCTCATAAGCCTTTAGGTTATGACTACTCGGCTCTCCCTTCGGACTCACCGGTCATAGTTAAGCAACTCATGTCAAACGCAAGGGATTGTGAGAGTGGCAGTGAAAGCCTGAGGTACCAAGCTTGTGAGCCAGAGTTAGAGGTGGGCACATGCGAAGCACCTCAACAAATGGTTTCGGGAAGAGATGATCAGGGCTTGAATGAATGGGCTATGCTTGATAGGATCGTAACTTCTCATCTAGGAAATGAAGATTCTTCTAAAGGGGTGAGGTTTGATGATGCAAATAATGCACCACCCATGCACCCAATTAATCAGCTCTCATTGCGTGGGGAGATGGATTTCTGGCGCTATGGAAAATAGTGGTGTTATATGTTTCTAGTTCCTTTCATCTCTTTTTGAACGACAACTATAAACATGGATTGGAGACGGTCATTAAAATGGCTTTCATTTATATTGATTGTAACTGTAATTGATGATTGTTTGTGGGATATATATAATATCTAGTTGGACTCAATACAATTTGTCTCTCTCACACGCACACATATTTATTTATTATTATTATTATTATTTTTTTTTTTTGAGAATTCATCTCTAGTTTAAAAAAAATGACAGAGAGAAGACTAAGAATTGAGTATATTTGAAAGTTTAATGGTATGGCATATGCACAAGATTTAAATAAAAAAGACTATATGCATGAATTCTTAATGTTTTTTTTTTTCCAAAACAAGGACGATATACTTGATAAGTATATTAATAAAATGTGGGACAAAACAAGAGGGGACAAACCAGTTTAGCCTAACTTGTTAAGAGGACAAAGAAGCCTAAACCCCTAAAAAACAACGATTACTGGAAAGCTTCTTGAAAAAGCTTAAAAACTATAGCTAAGCACTTAAGCTTTACGCAAACAACAAACCCAACACATCAACTCGTACGATAAGTACGCAACACATCAACTTGTACGATAAGTATGCAAACCCAACTTATCATTCGAAATAGCTCTGCGACAAGAAACGATTAAAGCATTAACCGAAAATAAAATCCTACAAGATATGTGCTAGAATTTCCACTTCGCAAGCCCATCGACTCGTCATATTTCCCTCCTTATGAACATGTTGTATGTTAATATCAATAGGAATATTTGCCCGAGCATGCTCGAAAATGTATATTAGATGCCAAGGAACCACGGAGTGGCGTGATAGACCTCCTAATATGAAAGAAGAGTGTCACGACCATGGGAGTGGGCCATGATCGACACAAGGACCGAAGGGACCGTGAGGCCCACCTCGAATACTAATCTAAAAACCTCAAATATCATTTCATTAGATATCATCTCAATTTACATTATCATTACTTAGCAATCAATTTTTCAACCTTAATACAATTCATAATTTCAAGCTATTCTCATTTTACTAACTAAGATCAATATCCATAATCAAATCTTAATACATTATCCATATCTATAACCGTAGAACATTTAAGATAAAGCAAATCAAAACATACATAGGTTCTAAGAAATTATAATGAAGGTAAGTCGCATGATCAAAGTGCCAACTTCAAGAAAGGTAGCTAAAAGGAAGCAATGGCTAATCTCTCAATATCCTACAAGACTCAAATAATGAGGGATGAGCAAATCACAGCTCAATAAGTAAACATTATATAATACACTAAAGAAGGGAGCCGGACTACGGACGATATTCTTAAATCTATATGAAAATGCAATGCTTATTTATCAAAAACATATGCATATCGAAAACAAACTTCATATCACAAATCCAAATGGTTCAAAACCATTTCATATCAAATTGTCAAGTATTTGTTTATACACACACACACACACATGTGCGTGTGTGCACACACATATAATACACCCGTAGGGTAATAACATATCGTTGGATGCGAACACCCTAAGGTCATGCTCCTCGTGATTAGGTTTTCGCATATGAGCTAACATACGGTCTAGCACTACACCTCTCTTGCTAGATGGAGCCTCATATCATTGAGCTCAAAGGTTACCCCCAGTAGCTAGGTTCCCCGTGGTCTCAAAAATATTTTCGAAAATCAAATACACTTATTCATTTTCAAGTCTATATTTCAAATACCATGCATACATTTTCATAAATACACATATACTCAAAATAAAAAACATAAAATAATCATTCAAATTCAAAATCACATATCAATTTTAATAACACATCAAAATCTCTTTTTCATTCATATCAAATCATTTGATACAAAAAATAATTTAAATATTTAGAATGTCCATTCCCATCTAAGTTCTACTAGAATGCTTACAAATTATTCATAAATAATTATACATCATGAACAATTCAAGAACTTTAAAAAATAGTATAAAATATAATATCCACTCACGAGTATAATTGAAGCACTCGAATGGAATCAAGGTTGTGATGGAGTCACCCACTCTAAAGAATCTAGCATAAAAAATGATTGAGCATCCATCAATATCACGGAATAAGAAATAATCCCACTAATGGATTATTCTAAAATTAAAATACAAGATTATGAAATAATAACGAAATTGAATGGAAAGACTCGATCCAATAATTTAACTAGATCCTACAATCCTTGAATTGATTCTAATCCATAGCTCACTAAATCTCATCATCACCAATTCTCAATTTATTCATGAATTTTTAATTCAAATGATTCGTTACATTCTAATTTACCAAATACTCATTCTATTAATCTTGAATTGCTTGTATATAGCCTAATTCCTCATTTTTTCCAATTTTTAGATTTGTCACTATTCATCATCTCCAATCTCTAATTTTCTCAAATTCATTTAGTTTTACTTCAAATTAACTCCTTAATTCACTTGCCTAAGATAATTAAACACCTAGGATTACTTAATCAAACTTTCCCCCAAATGGGTCTCAAGAACCCTAACTTCGAATCTAAGCAATTCATTAACCCAAAGTAATCTCAATTCAATATCATCATTAACTACACATAACTTCACAATTCAAAGATTAATGGATCAAAATTCTTACCATTACACTAAGCTCCTTAAATCCGAATTTCTTTCTAACTTTTCAAGCTTCCAAAGCTCCAAGCTAACTAAGGTCCACTTAACTCAACTAATTTAACTAATTTATGGTTCTCTAAAGCTAATTTAACATAAAATTAGCTTAGGAATCAAAGTTGAGAATTTAAGAGAAAATGGGTGAGGAATGGCATGGGAGGAAGAAAAGAAAGAAAAATAAAGGGACGAGCAAGTCGTCCTATTTTATACCAGACTTCCAAATAATTTTTTTTTTTTTTAAATTGAGTTATTACAAGGAGTCACCCTCTATAATGTCAAAGAAGAAGTTGTATGTCTTACATAGTGTGATGCCTTTAAGTAGAGCTAAGGCTTCTCTTTTAGAATTCGATCCAATTCCAAAAAGTTTGAAAAAAACTATTATTAAGGGTCACTTCTCATCCTTAAGAAAGCCTCCACCGAAGATAAATATTTCCTCGTGAAGCTCCATCTATGTTCGGCTTCAACTTGCCATTAGATGGAAGTTGCCACTTAATCGATCTTTTTTTAGCAAGAATGGAGGCATGTTCTTGTACACCCAAAGCTTTAACGTATGATTATCATGAAATGAGAGTGCATGCTTTGGAAGAAACGAAGCGTAAGTTCACTTAGCCATTTAAGCACCTTGTGTTTAACCGAAACCATGTTCATATCCCGTACCTCAAAAAAATGCCTTGTTTATAGCTAACCACGGCTCCCACCAAATACAATTGAACACAACCATACGAGAGAAGAATTTCTATAAAGTAATGATACCTCTAGGAAGCCAAGTCGCTACCAAATACGTAACGGATATGGAACCAGTTGCAATATCCGGAATGTTTCCAAAAAAGGACCAAATATCCTTTGCTATTTTAAGTTTTTTTAGTCCTTAAAGTTTTTTTAAAAAATATTTGATCCTTAATTTTTAAACTTATCCATACTAATAAAAAAATCTAAATAAATTAGTGGGTATTAATAGGATAAAGAATGGTAACCATATCATGAAATCATATTAGTGTATGCATTGTTTTCATTATTACCCACTCCAATACCTATTATACATTCTTAATGGGTATTTATTGGACCGGGTAAAATAAGTATCCGTTTTATACCCGATCCATTATCATCTCTATTTAATAATTATAATAGTAACCATACCTTTAAGTAGCATCTTGTTTTCTCTTTTTTAACTTTTATTTTGTTTTAGTCAATTGATAGTGAGATTTTTTTTCATTGTTCAATTTCAAATATCCGATGATGTACTCATAACTTATCAATAGAGACAAATCTATACTATCGAATGTTATGAATAGAAAAATCAATACTACGATAAGATACCAAAATTCTTTTCCAACAACAAATTTGATAAATCTATGATTTGAAATTCACTTGAAACTACAAATTCATACCTTGATCCATTATATATCCTTAAAATTACTCGTAGTTATCACAAACAAAAAAAATATTTAATTTTAGATCATATAGATACAACTCTATAATTATTTGGATTATTGTAAATATAAGATCTAGTTAGTAGATCTTGAATTATTAGAAAAAAGAAAAAAGAGAACAAAGGAGGGACTCGTTCAATAAAATGACACTAATACGAGGTAAGATTTGGAAGGAGATCAACATAACATCGTTCGGGAAAATGGAGATTTAAGTGGCAATGTTGATGAAGGTAACTATGCTAGCAATGATAAGGTGGATTGATGACAGAAGCTGGCAATGATGAGACTGGACTAATGATGATGGCAAATTCATGGGGAAAGTTGTTATAAAGTCGGTTAAGAAATGCGTTAGGAGTTAGTTAGCAAGTTGTTTTAAAGTATAACTGTATTTACAAACGGTACTATAGAAAAGAAGAGTCGTCTTTGTTCATTTACAAAAATGCTCTCTTTTTTTTCTCGCTCGATAATTCTCTTTATGCAATAATTCTTACAATGCTCTTTATATTTCTTGTATTACAAACTCATTGCATGTATTTCTTACATTTACATAGATTTTGTTATAGTCATGCATTTTATTTAATTTTTGAAATAAGAATCGCTCGGTGGAATTCTTTCACATGAGCAATATCTAGAACTAAGCTATTAAGAGTTATCCTAGTATTTTGTTAAGTCCTATTCTTATGTGTAGAGCTAGTTATTAGGAGCTTAGTTGATATTGTGCCTTATAGTAAGGAAGATAGTTAGATATAAGTGTACACTTTTCTTTTTTTTTAACAACTCAAAAATAAGATTGGTAATGGTCCTAAATCCATGAATAAACCTCGCTATAGGGAAAAAAAAAACAAGGCTTTTGAAACTCCTCACCTCGGTCACAATCTTTGGTACTA